AATAATATAATAATTAAATAATATATATATATATATATATATATATATATATATATATATATAGATTGAAAAAAACAAAAACTTTATTTTCACTCTGGACAAATTTCTATTTAAATACATAAATACAACCAGCAGGCAGGCTGAAGCCGTAAGATACTAACACGTGACAATTTGTACTGAGATCAAGGGATCGTGCTGGCCTGACGACACAAACTAATGTTGTAAGTTTGGATCTAAGCTAGCTGACATAGATCAGTCAATAATTTTTCTTTTACTTGCTACATATTGTAAAATGTTCTGAAGTTCCTGAGCACTGTTTCATACAATCACGTTATAATTAATTGATGATCGTTAACAAACCAATGACAAAATTGTACATTGAGATCTAATTCACATACAATAAAATAATAAACAAACCTCATATACAAATTTACCTCATCTAACATAAAATGTAAAGAAAAATTTTTCATACAAAAGCTCTTAGGTGATACTTTGGTTTGCACAGTTATAAAAATGTGTTTATATCTCACATGATCGGCAGTGAATTGGTCATTGAACGTGGTAATAAGCTTTCCTCTACTGGTTTTAGCTTGATGGATGCATGGTTAACAAAAAAGTAGTTTCAAACGAAACAACATATTTTGATATGCATGTTCTTTACTGAAACAAGTGTTTCTTGAGAATCAAGTAGTTTAAAAATTATTTGGCTTCCGCAAAAGAGTAATTTGTAATTTCTATCTTAAAATCAAATATCTGATTTTTGATAATTATATATAAATATATGAACAGAGCAATTGTATTTCATGATGCACAACAAATAAGAAAATGAGGTTCAATAAAAAACACCAAGACAAATGTATCTTATGTACAATGTGTTATTTTATATATTTACATTATAATAAAAATCAACTGTTAATGGTACAACTTCAAGAGTATCTAACTGGGTGGCTCAAGCCACAACCAAAGTTTTAAACCAGCAGAGGAACAATGGTTAAAAACTTCACAGTTCAAGTTTCAAACAACACAGCTTTCAAAATTCTTAATGGTTTTAGTGTGCAAAATGGATGAGCTTAATTGATGACTATGATTTGAAAAATGGCAGTTTCCAGCTATGGCAAAAATATGTTATCAAGGATGGTTGCATAGTTTGGTGAGCAAAAATTCCAAACTTACAAGATGACCAGAACATTCTTCACTAACTAAGCCCAAAACTCTGGTTTCTACACTCTGTAAATTAAGTACAACTTTCTCAAATAATTGAAGTAATTAACCCTGAAAAGCAGCTAGCCTTACAGGATTCCTAAGGTCACATCCCAAAATTATCCCTTTTTTTTTTTTGGCACACACACTACTGCAAATCCACTAAGACAGAAAGTAAAAATAAGCTGTTCTATCATAAAACATATGTTTAAATAATGGAATACTTTACAGACATCTGATCTAATTCACCCGTCTGTTTACCATATGTGGCAGTGGTAATCCTGTATATATATATTATATTCACCCTGAAAACATAACCTTCATAATAGTTATGGAAATTAAATTTCTGATGCAGTGATTAAAATCAATAGATATTACTTCTTTACCCTCTACTAAGTTTTGTCTAAAACATCCAAGTTAAAGGCCTAAGTGAATGAAAATCAAGTATGTTGCTTCAAGCCAGTGTAGTCATTGATTAAAACCCCTTCAAAACTCTCAAAAGACGATTGTTTACATGAATCCTCCTATTAACATGGCACAAACCTATCTTTAAAAAATTTTGAATTAATTAATTTTCTGATTTATATTTTATTTTTGATATGAATTTTACTTATTCAATACTGAACTTCCCTTTTTATCACATGAAAGTTCAAAAACAATACAGATGCTTCTTATCTGAGGATCCTTGTGTAAACCCAATATAATTACACTTTGTTGCTGCTTTTTACAACAAAACAAAACTTCACCATCAGCAGACCAAAATCTTCAGAAACAGCTACTTTAGTTTCCTTCAACTGATTGCTATTTATCATAACACCATGTCACAATCAGCAAACTTGCACTTAATGTAATTCTGACAGACAATGTATATATTCATTTATGTTTATATATATATATATATATATGATAGAGTTTGGTCATCCAACTTAACCTGGAAAATTTCTTCAGACCTTGGTGATTATAATGGTTCCATTATTTGTGGTTTCAGAGACCATTCTCTGCATTTAGTATTGGATTTTGGGCTTTAAATTTTTAATACAGGAACTCTTCCATGTCTTTATCAACTAGTCTTAAATCTTGTCTTCTGTTGTATTCCAGTATATTCACAGTTCTTCAAGTGGCTCAACTAGTACCAAAGCTGTCATAACTTTATACTTACATATACTGTAGATGAAAACCAGCCTCAGTCAGATAGAAAAAACAAAGGGAAAAAAAGTGGCTTCAAAAATTTGCAAAGACATTATTACTAGATTTCTTGTTTCTGTAGACAGAAATATTAACAACTGAAAAGCTTTCAAACAGCAAGCAAGCAGAGTAATATTGGTGCATTCAAATGAGTATCAGTCCTTGCAAACTTTTAGTGCATTTTCAATTCTTACAATTTCCAGACTGTCATGCATAACTAGTGGAAGCAGAAGGGAGCTGAAACAGAGAAATAAAAATTGAAATAAATCATACTTTTATTAGAGTTTAAAAACAAAATCTACTCTTAACAAATATAATAAAAACTAATTTTTTTTTTTTTTTTTTTAAATTGCAATGATTTATTAATCACAAGCTCAGTAATAAATCCAAAAATGTTATTAATCAAAGAATAAGCTTATTCTGGTGAATAGGAACAAAATATACAAAAATTTGTATTTCAGATGCAACACAATTTTTTCTTAATGTTAACCATTACTTGATGCTTACAAGTGGTGTAGGAAGGAGTTGTAAAGTGGGGTTGCTTAGCTAGATATGCAGATTTTACAATGAGGAATTGAAAGTATAAGGAGTTGCTAAAAGCTAATATGCTAACATAATTTACAGTTGCTATACAAGTCAAATATGTAAAAGTGGAAGTACTGTTACACCCTCTGTCCTGACGTCTCTGCTTACATTTATACAATGACTCAGTGAATAGGATAATCTGTGGGGTAAATAGGGAAAAAAGAATCAGATTGTGTTACCCAGGGGAACAGGTGGAGGATATAACTAACAGAGCAGGAGATATAATAAAGAGGGCTAGCAGAGATGCAGTTTTTGTGGTGTATGTAGGGGCTAATGATGTAGGGAAAGGTAGGTCAGAAGAACTAATTAATAAGTACAAGAGGTTGATAAAGGCATTTAAAGAAAAGGGATATAAATTAATTTTGTCAGGGATACTGCTCAGAATTAACTGTGGAGATGAAGTTATAAGTAGATCACTAGGGTTAATTGCTAAGCTTAGGTTAGTATGTAATAATGAGCAGATTGGCTGGTTGGATTTGTGGGATTAGTTCAGTGGAAGAAGGGAGCTTTTTTGGAATGGATGGTTTACATTTAAATACGGTAGGGGCTGGCTTGTTTGCTACGACTATTAAATCAGCTGTAAGGGATGTTTTAAACTAGGACTAGACAGTGATGAGGGTGAGGAAAAATTAAATGCAAAAAAGAATAAGAGGCGGAGAAAAGTTTAGCTTAAGAAATGAGTATAGAAGTAGATATAAGGGTAGGTTTAATTATTATTGTAATGCTAGAAGTATAAAAAATAAAATAGATAACATTAGAGCACTGGAGGACGTCAGGAGGATTTTGACAAAATGGGAATAACTGAAATATTGTTAAATGTAGATGATTTTGATGACAGAAATTTATTTGGAATACAATGTTAAAGGCTATCTAACAGGGATAGAGTATCAAAAATAGGGAATGGCTTTTTATGCAAAATGTGAGTTACATCCTGTTGAAGTTGAAGATATCAAAGTTAATAGCAAGGAGATTTAATCCATTTGGGTTTCTATAAGTGGATATAAAGGGAAAAGGTTTTTAGTGGGAATTTGTTACAGCCCACCAAATGATACTGATGAAATTAGTGAGAATCTTTACAATGAGATTAAGATTTCAGCTGCTAATGAAGTCATAATTATGGGTGATTTTAAATTCAGGCATATAGATTGAGAAATGCTAGAGTCAAACCATGAGGGAGAAAGGTTTTTGGAAACTGTTCAAGATAGCTTTATTCAACAATTAGTCAAGGAACCTACTAGAAATAATGCTATTTTAGAGTTATTTTAACTTCAAATATAGAAACCATAGATTGGGTGGAAATTGGTGAACATCTGGGTGCAAGTGATCATTGCTCTATTAGGTTCAATGTTTTGTTGCATATAGAGATAAGGAATAATGATATTTTGGTTACAAATTTCAAAAAGCATATTTTGAGGGGATGCGACAAGAATTATTTGTTGTGAATTGGGCAGCTGAATTGTTTATAGACACTGATAAGATGTGGAAAATTTTTAAATATTCAAGGTAAGCATATTCCTTATAGAAAGAAAAGGGTAGCTGCAAGTAAAAAACCAGATTGGTTCACAAAGAGTTTAAGAGATAAAATGAAAGAAAAGCATAAAAAAATCTAAGAAATTTAAATTGACTGGTATGACAAGAGATTTAAAAGATTATAGAAGATCAAGAAAGTTGGTGAAACAGGAAATTAGAAAAGTTTGGCCAAAAATGTAAAAATTAAAATAAGGATTTCTTTAAATACATTAAGGGTAAACAAAATGTTAGGATGGGGTTAGGACCATTGAAGGATGATAGAGGTAGGCTTGTATCTGATGATTATGAGATGGCTAGGTTATTATATTTTGCTTTTTCTTTGGTTTTTACTAATGAAGATTTAAGCAGTATTACACATCTTGAACAGCTGATAGATTGAAACAAGATCGACCAAGATGACTGCATTAATTATGAGTTGATTAAGAAAAAATTGGGAAGTTTAAAGAACCAGATAATATTCCCCCAAGGGTTTTGAAGGAGGTTAAAGATTGGATATGTGAGCCACTTGCTACTATTTTTTTTGTTAGTCCTTGAATAGTGGGCATGTACCAGATGACTGGAAGTTAGCTAATGTAATTCCTCTTTTCAAGGGAGGTGATAACAATTGGCCCAGTAATTATATACTCATTAGTCTTACATCAGTTGTGGGAAAAGTTCTGGAAAGTCCAATAAAAGATGCTGTGCAAAGTCATTTAAAAAAGTTCAGAATTTTATTGGATAGTAAACATGGTTTCACCAAGAGAAAATCTTGCTTTACAAATCTTTTACATTCTTTGAAAAGGTTATGCTTACATATATGAGGGTAAGAGTGTAGATTTGGTGTATCTGGATTTTCAGATAGCATTTGACAAGGGGCAAAATAAAAGGTTTGTAAAAAAAATATCTATAGGTGTGGGGGATAAGTTAGAAAATTGGATAGAAGAGTGGCAGAGGGTTGTTACAAATGGAGTTCAGTCAAACTGGATTAAGGTTACAAGTGGGGTACCTCAGGGCTCAATCTTAGGACTTTTTTGATTTACATCAATGACAAAGATGAAAGAATTGTCAATAAGTTACTTAAATTTACTGATGATATTAAGGTCTTGGGTGTTGCTAGCTGTGAAGAGGATACTGATGATTTACAAAAGGATTTAGATCATATAGTGAGTTGGGCAAATAATTGGCAGATGGGTTTTAATTGTAATAAATGCAAGATAATGCATGTGGGTTATCATAATTTAAATTATAAATATAATTTGGATGGTAATAATAAAGCCATCCAAGCAGTGTGCTGTTGCTAGTGGTAGGGAAAATAGGATTTTAGGTTGTATCTACAGAAATATTGAATACAAGTCTAAAGAGGTTATAATTTCATTGTATAGGTCACTGGTTAGGCCACATATGGAATATTGTGTTCAGCCTTGGGCTCCTTACCTTAGGAAAGACATTGAGTTGTTGGAAAGGGTTCAGAGATTGTTACTAGAATGGGATAGAACGGTTGTCATACGAGGAGAGTTTGAAATCTCTGAAATTGTTTTCTTTTGAAAAAAGAAGAGTTGGGGGGGGGGTCTGACTGAGGTGCTTAAGATTGTAAAGGAAATAGATAGTGTTGATGCATTTTCGTTTTTCATACTGAACAGTGAGAATAGTATGGATTAGGAGACACAAATATAAGTTTTGGCAAGGTAATAGTGGGTTGCCTTCAGATGTTGTGGTGGCAGTAAATTTAAGCAAGTTTTAAGAAAGAGCTTGATAAGTATATGAATGATAAGAACTGGCTTTAAGGGTTTTTTTTTAATTTACTTATTTATTTATTCATAGTTTTAGTTTAGAGGATAGAACAATAGGTCCCATCTTGTCCCAAAATCATTAGTGGTGTACACACACAAATATATATATTGGTTAATATTGCTAAACATCAGAAAAAAATATTAATTTACTTTGGAATACTTAAAGTTTAATATGAATATTATAACTACTCAGATTACTCACTGGATGTAAAACAAAACTATCATAAGTATCCATGAGATCTTCCATTGTGTATTCCTCCAAAACTACGAACTCTTCCAATATTGAACTCTCTTTCATTGCACAGTCTAGACAATAAACTGTGTGCTTTTTTTCCACTTCTTTAACAAACAGTATGTTGAAAACCTCAAGCTGCAATAGTCAATAACATTCTTTATAAAACACATCAAAAGCTTTAAGGTAAAACAAATTACAAACTGTTTTATTTCCTTTATAAATAAATAAAGTGTGACACTGTTCTTGTAGAATCAAGATGTGTTTCAAAAAAAATAATTTTTACTAGTTTTCACTCAAAGACTAGGGAAGCTAATGTACAAAATATCACCTAAAAACAATTGAGTAAAATCAGTTACACTTTTGACTCGAAAATGAAGTATTGATGGGTTTACAAATGTCGAACAAATTTGTTTTCTATACTGTTTCTTTCAATCTAAGTGCTTTTTCTAGAACAGTGTCATATAATCACATCTATAATGCCACAAATTACCTCACAATTTCCACAGTAATGGGCAGTTTCATTTTTTCCTCTGCCATGCCACCTAATGTCCTTATTAAGAGTTTTCATCAAATCTATGGAAAGTTGACACATCTGCAATGTCTTCATCAAGCAGTATCTGGTAAATACATATTGAAATATTTTTATAAGTTAATAATCAATATTTTTATAGTATAACATGATTTTATTTAATGATCATGAACTGGATTTTTAAATATAAAAGATTGCCTAAATTATCTATCAAAGAAAATCAAATATCTCGTTTTAGCTAACTATATATTTAGTTTCAGAGTATCCATATTGAGTTGACTAGGAAATGGGCAGCAACTGCCTATTAGAGAAACTAGTAGAAACATATTGGTGACTATACAATCAACTTATGCAGCTCAAGTGTAGAGGACAATGCTTCGAAAGTCCTTTAAGACAACTGATATTGTTTACATAATAAATTGTCTGAAATAACTATAAAAGTTTCTACTAAAAATAAAATATGTTTCAAGAAATAATTTTAATGCACATTGTTTATTCATTTTTATATTTCATTTCTATCAGTGACTAGTTTTATTTTCAGACTGTCAGATAAGGTAAAGACTGTCTACTTAACTAAATGATAGCTAACAATAAAACTGAAATAGTTGCATATTGCCTCACATATTAAGCAGTCATATTTCAATCTAATTTCTTGACTAGCCAAATTTTCTCACTATAACAAAGCATTAAAATCACATTAGTCCCTGATGTTCTCAAAGTAGACAAATTAATCTTTTCTCTTAACCATGCCAGGTATGGTACATTTGTGGTTGCAGACATATTATTTACATACCACATATAGCCATGAATATTCCAGGTATTCTATTTGGTAATAGGTATAAAAAAAAATTCAACTGTTGTGTGCATACTCATATTGAAGCTATGCTATATTTGTTTTTGTTATCATTTTTTTAGTTCAAAGCTACACTATAGGTTGTCTGTGCTCTGTTCCCCAGGTGAAATCAAACCCTGTATTTTAGTATTGTAAGTCCATAAGCTTACTGTTGACCCACTAGGGGATTATGTTATAATAAAAGTTTAATCAACTACAAAATACTAAAGAAAACATACTTAATCAACTCATAAAGTTTCTGATCTGACACTTTGATGTTTCTAGCCAAGTTCCATGTCAGGTGAGCCATTGGGACAATGGACTTGTATTTTTCTACTTTATTCCACTCATATCTCTCAATAGCTAGACGATACTGGCTTGCTGTTAATGGGCCAACATTCCAGGCAATATTATTGCACCAACCCTAAAACAAATAATAAACCATGAATTAATATTATAAGAATAAACTTTTATCAATACTTGTTCAATTTCAACTTCTTTGAAAGTTAATATAAAGACAGCATGCTTTTTCTTTAATTGCTTCATTAGAAAATGCATGACACAAATTTACCATGACATACTATAACTGAATTAGTTGGTTACATGGAGAAACTTGTTTATCCACCTAGACATGAATAAACAAATTTATTTTACATATTTAGCACAAAGCTCACATATATGTATTATAAAAAATGGAATACAACCACAAACATCAAAATCTTTGTGCATAGTTGAGTTTGTTATAGTAAAACGAATTTGAATATACAAGTCAGTAACCACAGCTAATATAAAATTGCTGTGGAATAGTATTCTGACACTGTTTAGCACCTAAAAAATTGTCCGCTTTTTGGAAGGGAATGTAACAGCCCTTTCAGACACTAAATATTCATACACTCCAACAAAGATATTGTTACGTCTCCGTTTGTTAATTGATTTTCCGTAACTTCGTTCCGACGAAACTTTAGCGACACAAGTCCTTACTTAATAAAACTGGTTTATTCTTTCAGAATACAACTCTACGATACACTTATTTTCAACAATCGCTCTATAACAAACGCTATATCAACGAACGTCAACAATACTTCTGACTGCAGTTCAATTACTCACTATCTACACACACACATTATTATTCCGTCACGTTGTCACCCTCTTTTATATACCAGACTACCCCATATCTAGCAAATGCTAGAGCATTCGCCAAGGTACAGGATAGTTCTAGAAACGTGGCGTCACACAAGTCATGTGACTCGCTGATGCAACAATATGTTCAGATTGGAGATTTAGAAGTTCTAAGATAGGTATATCCCTTGTTATCAACCCTTTCAAGATGGGTCACAGGTGAAAGGCTACGTCACCTCGTCTATTGACTCGCATTCAGAATTTTATTGAACTACTATTTCATGAATTTATGTCTTTAGTCCGCTTGAAATTTCACATTTTTTAGACTAAAAATACATCTTGGTTACTAAGCTTTTTAAATTTTAGTGGAATTCTATGGTATTAATGTAATAATTTATGATTTTTTAGTTATTCAAATGTATATATAAAACCTAAAAAATATTTTGCTTCATATCCTCCATGTGCAATTTTTTTAAAGGCTTAGCAACCTACGTCAAGCAGCAACAGAGTACAAAAAGTCGTAACTAGAAGAGATAACTGTTTGCTTTTCTTCTTTATTTACTGTTCTATGTTTTAGGAAAAATATCTTTAAGG